ACACACACACACACACACACACACACACACACACACACACACACACACACACTCACTCACTCACTCACTCACTCACTCATTTCCGCAATAAAGTATTGACTCAATTTAAATGTCAATACTAAACCACATTTCAAATATAAATACAGCACTGTACATCTTTCCCTTAAATAAAATGTGAATGTTGCAGTAGATTGTTAAGAACCGGATGCGTTGTGTCACTGCCAGACGAAACCAAGTTATTAACAAGGTGTTTTAGCTGAGAGAATTTTGACCCACTGGTGGTAATGTGACAGTAATAGCCAGGTCCTTTGCTATATAAATGTTTGACTGTTAATTCACTTGGAAATGATCATGTACATTCATGTCATAAGAAGCCATTCTGCAAAACTGGTCTGGTTTACAGTAAACTGGACTTTTTGATACAAAGCTGAAGGAAACAGTTTAAACACTTACAAAAAGGCATTTGAAAGGCATTAGTTACCTCATACATTTTTAACTATGAAGGAGAATAAAACATTAAGTGGTTAAAAAGATAAACAGCAATTATAACACTCAAAAGTGCATTTGACTTCCACATAAATGACAGAGCTGTTCAGCTTGAATCATCACTAAAACTTGCCTGGTTCCCGATTCTATTTAATGTATGTGGTAATTACAGTATCTCCCATAAAATAAATTCTTTGTTTGGTTACAAAGTAGTAAAGAAACTGTTATGAATACTTTTAAATATACACAAGGTATTAACAACAAAAGAACATCTAGCCTGCCCAAAAAAAGTAAAAAAAAAAAACAAACAAAAAAAATTGTTTTTATTGAAACCTAAACTGTATACAAGAAAAACAGTTTGTTAAAAAGTAATAAAAGCTGTTGTGAAAAAGTCACCAGCCATAATCCTTCAACTGGGAAGATTCAATAAAATTATACTTCATCTGAAAGCATCACTCTCATCATGATAATGTCACAGTGCAAAGTCATGTGTACAGCTGACGGCTCATACAATCGAAATGTTCAAGGCACAAGCTAATGAGTCCACTGCAGGAAAATGCAGGGAGCTGTGACGTGTGTGTGTCCAGGGCCAGTTTCAGGAAGTACAAATAGACCATGTCTCTTATACTGTATGACTGTTCCTCATTCCTTGCTCGACCTGGAAGTTGTTCCGGTCAACTGAGGCTTGAGTACGCTCCAGATCTCTTATATCAGCTCTGAGGAGCAAGGAGGCAGCTGAAGGAGCCATGAATGAGGCTACAAGTCCGTCCTTGGTGGAAGTCTTTAATGAACCGACACGCTCTTTTATCAGAAAATGGAAAAGGAGGAAAGGACATCTAATGTTGTTAACGGGTTTCATCCAGTCCTCTCTCATGTTTTCCTTGCATTTTTCCCTCGTATCTTACGTGGGCTGGACTAAGATGAGGAAAAAATGCAAGTGAGGAAAACAATGACTCATGAGGTCAATGCAG